AAAATCTCAAGTAAGTGTCAACAGAGGGGCAGTTCTGCTATGAGGGCAGCACACTGGGCCTCTTCAGGCAGCTGGCAAATTTCACCTCCGCTTTGTGAGGACACGACCCCTTAACCTCAGTGTGACAGCTCTGGGTCCACCTGGGGCCTCCTCCTTTGTTTCCATCAATTACTGTAACAAGTAGAAGGGAAGGCACCATTTTTAAATTGTGAAATACAGATAAACCTTGCCATCTTAACCATTTTCAGCACACAGTTCAGTGGTGCTGCCCTTCCCCACTGTTGGGCACCAACTGCAGAGAACCACAGGCAGCATCTGGGAGGCTCAGTAGCATCCCAGAGACACCCAGGAGGTGACAGAGCTGAGACAAGGGCCCGAGCCTTCAATGCCAAGGCCACTCAGCAATCCTGGGTCTTTATCCTATATAATAAAAGCCTAATATGCAAATCAACCGAACGGAAGAACGACAGGTGGAACGAGCAGTCACTATGACATGCACTGACCACCAGGGGCGGGCAGACAAGGCAGGAGCTGCCTCCAGCCCAGCCAAGGTAGGTGCGAGCGGGGGCCTCCCAATCATCCTTCTAGTCGTCCCACAGATCGGCCCTGATCGCCAGCCAGGCCTAGGGACCCTACCCGTGCACAGATTTCATGCACTGGGCCTCTAGTCTATTATAAGGCACATGTTTAAAAGTTTAACTATATAACCACTTTCATTTTGAAAAAGAGAGTAGTGCCAAAGTTCGTCATGGCGACTCGGCAGTACATCCGTGTGTATGATGTTCACCAGGTCTCATCCTGTTTGGCACATCCCACTGCAAGGAACTCCAGCTATAAAAGCTTCCAGGCCCCGAGCATGATGGGTGTTTCCTGGTCTCCCTCCCCCGTACCGGAGTTCCTAAAGGCAGGAATCGGGCTGGAGCTATTCAACAGCCACTTCACACTTACTGAGTGAATGTGATTAAAATTCTGCCTCTGCCTTTCTCCTCAGCGTGTCTGAACAGGGAAGTACAACCCTCTCGTCAGACACGTCCATGTGGTTACTTACCTACATGAACTTAGGTCGACATGCAGGTCAAGGTAGGAAAGAGCAAACCCCCGGGTGAGGTTTAGTCTGACTCTCAGGGACGAGGATGCCTAGAGCTCGGGCAAGTCCCAGGTCCTCTCAGCCTCCATGTCTTCCTCTGAGGAACCAGGTACCACCACTTACCTGATAGTCATGTCATAAGCAAGAGAGGGTTTGTTTCATGGTTATTAACAAAGTGAAACCAAAACCAAAATCTAGCTTTATATTTCCACCAAGGGCTTGTTTCCTTTCCTGAAACAGCTCACACCATCCCAACTTCTTGAACCTAACCCTAAGCTGAAGGAGGGATTGCAGACACAGTACTACAGGAAGGAAAGATAATTTATTACTATTTAAAAAGCAGCTATTTTTCCCCCATGCGTTTGAAAATAAACTCGGATTTGATCATGCTGACAGAGAATCTAGCCAGGATGACTTAAAACCTAAAGGTACAAAATGTCTCCCCCCACATACTGTATTTTTTATTGACTCTATTGGGGTGACATTAATAAAATTATATAGGTTTCGGGTGTACAATTCTATAATACATCATCTGTATACTGTACTATGTCACCACCCCAAGTCAATCAAGTCTCCTTCCATCACCACTTCTCCCCCATACCCTCTTCTCCCTCCCTCCAAAAATGTCTTCTCAGCTTTAGAATATTTAGCCATGCTGCTCCCTACAAAAACCAGTAAGACGTTGGAATTAAGCCGGTGAAAAGAGTGAACAATCTGGGTTTTAAACAAGATGAAGTCTTCAGTAATTTCAGACTCATATTCAACCATTGGTCAGTGGTAAACATATGCATATAATTGAGTCATTCATATTTTTCCTACAAATTGTTTGGTGGCAATAAGATACTTAGCAGGTCTCTAATGCTTTAGGGGAAATAACTTGTGCCCTAAGAACCACTGAGCTGCCAGGATGGTTCTGCCTGCCTCCCAGCACCACAGGTTAGGCCCCAGAAGCGCAGGCCTAACAGGACTCGCCACGGAGTAACAGTAGTGCTGCTCACCACTAAGCCTGGCAAACTCGTTTCGTTAGCTTCCTAACTGCACTTTTTGACTCTCACCCCAGAGCCCATCACCATGCACCTTCAGATGCTGATGGAAGTTGTCCCAGCGGAGGAAGCTCCAGAGTAACAGACTCAGTCGCCCGCAGCAGGGCCAAGCAGTGATGGACTTATTTTTGTAAGCAATTATCTGCAGTTATTTCTTCCTGACGTTTTTCTTAAGAAAAAAATGTATTGCAATGTCTATAATACTTGTATTTTTAGATATTCACACCTACTTAAATAAAGGGAATTGTTTAAACTTAGTGATCAAAAGGTATACAAAAAATTGGTGAAACTTTTGCTTTGTGTGAAACAGATTTTTAAAATACAGAAGTACAAATGTTTACCACTTACCCGTCCTCCTCCCGAGACTAGTGCCACCCCCATATTTAACCTGGGATGTGCATGGCAGGCCTGTCCCAGGCGGAATGTCGCGGCCCCACTGCAGAGCTGACCACTGGGAACCGAGGGCGCTGCAACCAGCGGTCAGCATCCCAGCTCCCCAACAGCCATCACTGGCGTTTTGGTCAAACAAGAAAGCGTGGTGAATAAAGTTCTATTTTGCATTTGGCACTCAGGGAAAATGCTGTCTAAAAAGTGTAAAAAATAAACATTTTTGTGAAAACACTAATTTTATTGATATACTTCAAAAGAGATCACACAACTAAATATGGGAGCAATTTAGAAACATAAAGACAAAGTACTTTTACCTTAGATTTCAGAAATCTTCCCCAAACATGAAATCAGTACATATTAATAGAACGAAAAACAATTAGTAGTTGTCTACATGTCACAAGTCAGTGTCCTGTCCTGCAAAACGTTATTTAGATCTTCAAACAGTAAATATAAATGTCCGAAAAAAGAAATGAGGGTTAGTTTAAGGTAGAGCCCTCCTCCCCTCTAATTGTTTTTTTAATCCTCACCAGAGGACATGTTTTGTTCCTTTTCTCATTGATTTCAGAGAGGAAAGGAGAGAGAGAAACATGGATGTGAGAGAGAACCATCAATTAGCTGCCTCCTGCAAGTGCCCCGACTGGGGATCAAATCTGCTAAGTATGTGCCCTGACCGGGAATTGAACCCACAACCTTTTGGTATATAGGACGACACTCCAACCAACGGAGCCACCCGGCCAGGGCCTCCCCTGTACTTTCATTTAGCTGTTTGTGAACCACAGTGAGTGAGCATTCCGTCTTCTTTGAGCAGGGCGCCCCAGCATTCGTACATGGGAAACACATTTGTGCAGCTCTGTGACTTGCTATTTGCTATGTTTCTTAAGAGACTGAGTACACTGAGCATAATCTGCAGGTGGCTGACAAGCCCAGGGAAAGCCAGTGCAGCTCAGGAGGCTGGGCTGGCCGCCAACCCCAAGGCCTCCTGCAGCCGGAGCGAAGGCTGTGCCTACAGACACTGACACCTCATGAGGGTCAGCAAAGACCGAGCTTCCTATTTCCCGAAAAGCCGGCCTGATTTAGCTCGACACTGACACCTCATGACGACTTAGGAGAGCTCCGCAGTCAAAACCTTTGCCAGCAAAGACTGAGCTTCCTATTTCCCGAAAAGCCGGCCTGATTTAGCTGTGGGAGCCAGGGCAGCAGCAGGGATGTGCTCCGGCCGCAGTCTAGGCTGCGCACGGTGTCCTCCTGCCAGGGCGGTGGTCTGACCTCCTGCTCAGAGCCGCCTCCCACAACAGAGGCCCTGAGCAGCGGCAGTGCTCTGGGCACCTCCTGAGGAGGGCAGCGTGGTAAGCAGGTCTTGTTTTACAGATGAGGAAACTGAGACAGAGTGTGACCCAGACCTGCCCACGGGACGGCCTGGCGACAGAGTTTACCTCTTTCACACGGTGCTTCTACCTGGGAGACCCACGCCCCTGAGCACCTGTGCTTTCTGGTGTATAAAGGAACAAAGACCTGGGGGCAAGTCGCACAGTCGTGTTCTAGAGCCGCTTTTCCACCTCTGGGCGCGGCTGCCACTCACACTGAATGAAGATGTGCACAGCGCTTACATTTCCCAGTGGCTCTTTCTACCTTTTCCAATTCACATGAACAGTCAGGCTCTGGGTGCCAGATTTAAGGGGCAGTGACAGTACACATTCCTCCCAACTGTCTTGTGAACCTGGTGCCACAGCCCCAGAACGGGGTCATGAATGTTGTTAGGGGTCATCACATCCAGGTGTCCTGAGGGTTACCTGCAGGCACCCCACAGGTCCTTTTCCGTTTCCACTGAAGGGGAACCTTTGTCTCAAGGGCCCAGGACTCCGCAGGTTCAGAGGGTCCTGCAGGAGCAGTAGCTTACCTCCAGAAAGCCTTGGGTCTGGCTGGTATGGCTCAGGCCACCCCATTTTTATCCTTGAAATAACTGTATACGAAGTAAACTTGCCCGGAGTAGCAACCAATATCTTAAGGACACCAGAGGTGTTACTACAAGTTTGAATCCCAACTAACTCATGGCTGAAAGGCTCTGTTAAGCACTGCCAAGTATGGATTTATGAGACAGAAACTTCAACTTATATGCACAAGATGTTTTTAGGAATGCACCAAACGTAGTTTTGAATGAAAAATACAAATAGACGAGCTCCAGATAGTACAGTTCATTATCTGAAAGCCGGGAGCTCTTTGTCATTCAACTGGGGTATGCCGGGATGGGCTTCGCATGACGCAATGACGCAATGAGCAGGACAGCTGGGAAACCGGGCTGTTAGACCAGCACTTCCTGTCTCCGCTTCCACCCTCCTTCATAGTCTCATCTTCAGCCCTTTTTTAACATTTTTATTTTTTTATTAACTTGAGAGAGAAACATCGATTTGTTGTTCCACTTATTTATGCATTCATTGGTTGACTCTTGTATGTGCCCTGACTGGGGATCGAACCCACAACCTTGGCATATAGGGACGACGCTCTAACCAACTGAGCTACCAGGCCTGGGCCTCAGCCCATTTTTAAATAGATTCAGAATTTCTCACCATTACCAATCCCAGTGCCACCAGATGACCCCTAGTAATAAAAAGGTTTGAAGGTGACTGCTGTTCTCTAACGTCCAGTCACTCGGTGACCCCCTGTCCGCCTCAGGATCGGGCCCACACGCTCAGTCGCTCTCGGTCTCCTCATCCTCTGAAGTCTGGTCACTGCTCTCCATCACCTCTGCCACTTTGCAGGACAGGTTTTTAGATGTTACAACTAAAAGAGTCGGATATTAGTTTAAAACATATGTTAACTAAGAACTAATTAGCAAATCTTTTCCCCTCCCATTATTTTGGTCAATGTAGAAAAAGTCTCTTGGGCTCTACCTCTATCTATTATACAACTTATTTTATAATTTCATTATTTTGGGCAGGAAACGAGCAGGTAAAGTTCGCTTGCTTATAAATAAAATTTTCTCCTAGGAAAACTACCTGTAAAAGTGTTATAAGAAGGTATGTTGCCCTAGCCGGTTTGGCTTAGCGGATAGAGCATCGGCCTGCGGACGAAAGGGTCCCAGGTTCGATTCCGGTCAAGGGCACATGCTTGGGTTGCGGGCTTGGTCCAACATGCAAGAGGCAGCCAATCAATGATTCCCTCTCATCACTGATGTTTCTACCTCTCTCTTCCTCTCCCTTCCTCCTTGAAATCAATAAAAGTATATTTAATAATAATAATAAAAAGGCATGTTTATAACCAAGAATGGATAGCTCCTCAAGCTGGAACATGTAGCATCAAGATCAACCACAGGAAGAAAACTGATTCCTAAGGGCTTTACAGGAATCACCCATTTCCCCAAAGGCCACACATTCCTAAGATCAGCTGAGTGGCTATGTCCACCCCGTGGCACTCAGGACCTACCCTCTCTCTAGGGACGGGACATCCCCTCTTACCCTTGGAGAAATGGCTCTCCTCTTCACATTCTTCCCAGTGATCAAAATCGAAAGCCACATTAGGATTCTGTACAAGAAAATAGTTTACATTAAGTGAGAAAATAAAACACGCTCAGGTTGTTAAGACCAGCCAGTTCATTTCAACTCACCTTCTGTCTGAGTAAGCTACACCAAGATTCCCTTCTCTCTTTTGCAAGAGTGATTATAGGTTCCTCATTTTTAATTATGCACTTGCAATCGTCCTTTATTATGTTGGCCTGCAACTCCAAATCAGCCAAGTAAAATTTTTCTCCTACCCAGGCACTAGGTTTACAAAAAGAAAAGAGTCAGTTTTTTAAAATGTTGGGGATTATTTCTATTTTACTTTATACGATTTACATAAACCTACCTGAAAATGACTCTATCTCTAAAATATTTGCACTTGTAATCTTTTACATTCCTTATTCTTATCTTCAATATGACCACATCGTCTTTTTGGAACCATTTTATTGGTGGGTGGAAGCTGGAGGAAAAGAAAGGGGCTGACATCTCACCACCACTTGCCAGGTGAGGACGGAGAGCGGACGGAGAGCGGACCTCGGGCGGGCCTGCGGAACCTTTGCAGAGGCTCCATAGTTCTGTTCACAGAAGCATCTCCAGTGTTTCCAGGTGAAGCTTCTGTACAAAAGGTCACATTTCCCCACAGGTTACTTATATGCAACCCATAATGTAAACACATATGTACTTACTTTGCATTTTATGCAACGTTAAGCCGAGGAAGTACTCTCTAAGAGCATAAATTTCATAGTAACCTAAGTATACACTTGCAAAGAATAATTAGGAAAAAACTAAAATGCACAGCACTTAATAAAACTAATGAAAACAGGCTTTGACAAATGGTACAATTAAACAACTGGGAAACTAAGGCTACTCTCTGAAAAGCACCCACATTACAGCCGGTGGCTGCAGGACACACGTGTTCAGGCTCCTCCGCTGTCTTCACCTGCTCGGACCCGCTAAGGTGACTTCCACAACAGTAGGCAGGACACTCAAGGAACAATACTAAGCATAACACTTTCTAAAACAAAGCTACGAAACTTCTCCATCTAAAATGAAGCTTCCATCCAAAGACTGTCCATAGCAGCTTGAATAACAATAATCAAAAACTGAAAACAACACAGACCATGGGGCAGTGAGGGCCTGGGGTGGGGGGCAGGGGTGGGCTGGAGGGAGTCAATGGGGGAAAAAGGGGGACTTATGTAATACTTTCAACAATAAAGAATTATTAAAAAAAACATCATCGACCAATAGGTGAACTGATAAACTGGCATATTCACAGCATAGAAAAATCTCAGCAATAAAAAATGCACCTGCTACACATTTATCTAGATGAATTTCGCAGACATACGCTGAATGAAGAAGCCACAAGAGTGTATACTATGTGCTTCGGCAAAACTGATGGTGACAGAAGTCAGAACAGCGGTTACTGGGTAAGGTTCCAGACAGGGAAGTGCCTAAGGGAGACTTCGGGGTTCTGGACACGTTCTTGGCCTGGTTACTGGACATATACACGTGTAAAAATATCTCATGAGCGGTGTGCACTTACTGAATGAACATTATACCTCAAACAATAAAAAGTGAAAAAGTTACCAAAAAAACTACTGGAAGCCAAATTGTCAAAAATAGGACGCTGGGCAATCCCCTCTCTCTAATCCATGTAAAGTGGAGAGCCTGCACAGCAGAACACCTCTCAGAGTGGTTGTACTAACCACCCTTTAAGTAACCAACCATGCTTCCGGTTTCCTGAGTTCGTTCCGGAGTCGGCACCTCTTTCCAAAGCCCCGTCCTCTGGCCGTGTGCTCTGCAGACAGGCAGCCTCTTCTGTAGACGACGGCACCCTGGACAGAACAGGCAACGTTAATCCGAGGAGACAGGCGAACCTGGCTCTGCAGGGACTTCCCAGCCAGAAGGCAGGCAGGCGACCAATGGCCATGCTGTGCCCACTCCCGCGAGCCACACGCATGCTGAGCTTACGGCTCCTTTACGGACGCCCCAGGGCAGCCAGCTCTGCTTACTCTGTGGGCCTGGCATCAAGCACAGAGCAGATGACTGATACATATTTTCAGATAAATGCAGCAACTCATTTGCCAAAGTAAGTTCCCTGTCCAATCATTCAACTTGAGAATAACATACTGCCCTACACTTTAAGGAGGATAAAAGGGCAGAGTAAAAGCCATCTCTCCCTGCGCCCCCCCCCCCCCCCCCCCCCCCCCCCCCCCCCCCCCCCCCCCCCCCCCCCCCCCCCCCCCCCCCCCCCCCCCCCCCCCCCCCCCCCCCCCCCCCCCCCCCCCCCCCCCCCCCCCCCCCCCCCCCCCCCCCCCCCCCCCCCCCCCCCCCCCCCCCCCCCCCCCCCCCCCCCCCCCCCCCCCCCCCCCCCCCCCCCCCCCCCCCCCCCCCCCCCCCCCCCCCCCCCCCCCCCCCCCCCCCCCCCCCCCCCCCCCCCCCCCCCCCCCCCCCCCCCCCCCCCCCCCCCCCCCCCCCCCCCCCCCCCCCCCCCCCCCCCCCCCCCCCCCCCCCCCCCCCCCCCCCCCCCCCCCCCCCCCCCCCCCCCCCCCCCCCCCCCCCCCCCCCCCCCCCCCCCCCCCCCCCCCCCCCCCCCCCCCCCCCCCCCCCCCCCCCCCCCCCCCCCCCCCCCCCCCCCCCCCCCCCCCCCCCCCCCCCCCCCCCCCCCCCCCCCCCCCCCCCCCCCCCCCCCCCCCCCCCCCCCCCCCCCCCCCCCCCCCCCCCCCCCCCGATCCCTCAGCTCCTCTGACAAGCTTGGGTCTGCTTCTAGAAAGTCTTTGCATATAAAAGCAAATATCTGATCTTTCTATCTCTATCTCTCTCTCTCTCACATACACACACGGGCATGTTTAAACAGAGGAAACCTACTGAATTCACTTTCCTGCCCCTTACTTTATTGTACTTAATAAAACCAGAGATTAGAGGGCAGCCTCCTTTCTCTAAAGTTTTTAAATTGTGTTTCTCTTTTGGTTTTTTGAGCAGGTAACCACATTCATGTGGTTTAATAAAAAAGTCTACACAGTGACTCTCCACCCTATTGCCCAGCCACCCAAACTCCTTCCTCGTGGTGACTATGAAATGCATTTTGTGTGCATCCTTTGAGAAGTCAAGCCTAAAGGAGCAAACCAATGCACCATGTGTACACCTGTGTATACCCGTGTACACACACACACGCACACCTTTGGGGTAGGGACGTGCGTGTGTCTCCAGGGGACTTGACTGACATGCATGAAGCCTGCGGCGCGGCACTGCCCAAACAGCGGAGAGCAGTGCCCCATGTCCACCCACCAGGACCGGGCAGGGACCCTCCTCAGGCCTCACCCTCTCTCAGGGGTGCAACACCGGCCCTCCATCGCTCACTCTCTTCTTCCACCACGGCTCTACCTCCTTCATTAGACCCTCAGCTGTGGGGTGTCCCTTCCTCCTCTCACACACAAAGTTTCCTCACACACACCAAGTTTCAACTCTCCTCCAACCTGGAGCCCAGAGCCTTCCCCAGGGCTTCCTGCGTTCTAGGCTCATACTTTCAACCTCATGACACGGAATAGGTCTAAAAGCAACGCGGTGTCTCCTCCTCTCCAACAGGCCAGCTGCTCCTGGAAAACATCATCGATGTTTCTAACTCTCTATCTCTCTCCCTTCCTCTCTGTAAAAAATCAATAGAATATATTTAAAAAAAAAAAAGAAACCAGCTCCTTCTCAGCACCCCCACAAAACCAGCGCAGCGCAGGCCACCGCCACCGCCATCCTGCCCGCAGCTGGGCACAGCCTGCGTCCCCCGCTCCAGCCTATTCTCAACACAGAAGCCAAGGATCTTTTCACTACGTGATTTCTCTGCTCAAAACCCTCGCATGGTTCCACCTCCTCAGAGTGGAGCCCACACCCTGCCGCGGCCACAGGGACAAGATCTGGCCCAGGACCGCTCCCACTCCGCTCCTGCGTCTCCCTCAGGTGCTGCTCTAGTCACCGTCCTCCTCCCTGTGCCGGGGCCACGCTGTCCCTGTCCTCCCTCAGCTGCCTGCCTGCATCGGGCCCCTCCCGTGTCACCGCCCACCTTCTTGGCCCCAAGGTTCCCTACGTGCCTTTCTGTGTTGATTTGCTTCCCTTCACTTGTCACCACCTGACCCACCTGTTTGGTTCACTACTGTATCTACTGTATCTCCAGTTGACACTCAATATTTACTGAATGAATGAATTCTAAAACTTCCACTCTACCTAATGGCAACTTTAATTGAAAGTATTTATCTGCTAGTTGGGTAAACTGAAACAAAGTTGGACTGAAGAAATATTCCAGCATCTTGCTACCAAAACGGCAAACCAGGAAGCCCCGAGTTCCCACCATTTCCCATCAGAAACACTGCGAGGACCACCAGAAGCTGCCTGAACCGACTGTGCAGGAGCTCTGGAAAGTGAAAGGTTTACAGCAGCCAACAAAGCCCAGTCAGGAAACAGCCAGCTCCGAAAGGGGAGGCAGGCTCTGTGTGTCCACTTGTCTTTGCCCCACACCCAGGGCCTGGCGGGCTTGAGTGGCAGCAGCTTATTCCTGTTCCCCCTCAAACCAGAGGGCGCAGAGCGGCCCCTTGCAAACTCTCTGCAGGCCATTCTGAGGTGTCTGGGGAGACACCGAGGGACGCAGGCACTATGCCTGTTTGCTTCACACATCTTGGCACACAGGCAGGAAAGCAGTGGGCAGTTTGGAAAAGCTGACACCACAGATGCCCGGGGCAGGGACTAGGCATGGAAACCCGCAACAGACCACTGACGGCCCAGAGGAGAACCTGGGAGAGACTCACTGGGAAACTAGGACATTCAGCAGCAGCACCTTGCGGGGGTCAGGGAAGGGTGCAGAAAGCCACGCACGTGCTGAGGCAAGACGCGTGCTCAGAAAAGTCCTGAGACGACCTTGAACGTGACCTCGGGCTGATTTCTAGGCGAGGCTGTGGAGAAAGTGGGAATTTTCGTGCACTGCTAGTGGGAATGTAAAGTGGTGCAGCTGCCGTGGGAAACACTTTGGCAGTCCAAAAAAACAAACACAGAATTACCCCATGATCCAGCAAGTCCACTTCTGGGAATATACACAAGAACCGAAAGCAGGGGTGTGAACAGATATCCCTAAAGCATGTTCTCAGCGGCACGATTCATACAGCCATACGTCCATGAACATTAATAGATACACAAAGTGTGGTCTATCCATACAATGGAATATTTTTAGCCTCAAAAAGGACTGAAATTCTGATACATGCTACAATATGGTTGAGCCTTGAAAACATTATGCCAAGTGGAATAAGCCAGTCACAAAAAGACAAACATTGTATGCAGTACCGGAACAGGTAAACTACTAGAGACAGAAAGCAGAATGGAGGTTACCAGCGACTGGGGGCGGGAGAAAAGAATTATTGTTTGATGTACAGTTTCTGTTTGGGGTCATGTAAAAGGTCAAGAGATGGACAGTGGTGGTGGTTACACAACACTGTGAATGTAACTAATGCCACTGGATTTTACACTTACAGTTACAATGACAAATTTTTATGTATATTTTAGTGCAATTAAAATACAACAAAATGAGAAATTCTGTTATGTCTGTGTTAACACAGTAAAAAAAACACATGCAATTTTAAAAATTACTAATAATTTTGTTAGATGTAATAATAGCACACCAGTCAAGTTTTTAAAAGCCTTTTGTTCCACATCCTTGCCAACACGGTATTTTCTTTCATTTCTGGTGAATATGTAGTGGTATGACTGCACTGTGTTTTTAATCTGCATTTCCCTGATGGCTAATGAGTTTAAGAATCTTTTCATATATTAATCATTAGACAATTAATTAGCTGGACACTGTGAAGTTTCAAGTTTTTTGCTCAGTTTTCTACAGGTGTCTGCAATTTTCATCCTGATTGGAAGGCGTTCTTGATTTGAGTCCTTTGGTAACACACGCTATCATCCTCCCGCTTTGGGGGTTGCGAGTCCCTCACACTGCTGGGAGAAGTACAGACTGGTGCAACCAATGTGGAAAACTGTGGGGCAGTAGCTCTAGCTTGACTCAGCAATTCTATTCTATCAGAAATACATTCATAAGTGCACCAAAACACAGGCAGGAGAATGGTTAAAGTACCACCCGAAGTAGCCCAGCACTGGACATTTCTCCCACCAACAGTAGAATGGGTAATTATGGTACGTTCATACAATGGGATATAATTCAGCAATGGGAATGTCAGGCCTACAGCTGCATGCACAACATGAATGAGTTTCACAAATAACGCTGAGCTAAAGAGCTAGACTTAAGAGAGACACACTGCATGATTCCGCTCAGAGTTCAAACCCAGTGCTGCCCTGGAAGGGAGGAGCTGGTCTGAGTCATGTCCTGTTTCTGATCTGGGGCTGGTTTCTTGCTCAGAAAACCTACCAAACGACATTTACAACACGTGCGCTTTTCTGTCTGCGTGCTGTCAGTAAAAAGCTAATAAAAACTCATTCCATAAGAGACACACAGTGAAATAATACATCTGGGATCTGTTTTATCACTCCACAAAAACAAAAGTGAAGGCTGAGGTCTGGTTAAAAAAAGATTCCCAAAAGTAACTACTGAAGCTGAGTGATAAAAACAGGGAAACTCATTAAACTGTCTACTTTCAAAAAATGTCTGTAACGCTTGTAAGTTAGATTTCCACAAAACAGCTCTCCCAAAAGAGAGACAAAAATCCACTTACAGTGTTTGGCTTCGGCTTTCTTCAACAGTTTGTATTTTAGCTCCTTCGTACAATTTTTTCAGTTGTTCTATATGTTCTGGATTATCAATGCCCATTCCCATTGACAAAATTTCAGCTCGAACATTGTAATCAATGACAGAAGTTTTCAAATTTAAAAGTTTTGTAATGTGCACCTTGAATCAAAGAAAAAAATACATTTGCAGAATCAAACTTTGAACTTTAAATGAATCACAAGCACGCTCACGCGGCCTCTCCATCCAGCTCTGTAAGGTGTGATGCCCTTGGGCGCATGCCACCGTGTGCAAGGGCCTCCACTCACAGCCGATCATTTCATAACCGAGTCCCACGGGAATCTCCCAGAGCCCAGTCCCACACCGCACAAACACCACCAGCTCTGGGTCAGGGCAAGACCGAATCCTGGCATGGAAGCCCAGACGAGACCAATCTGCGATGCTGTAACCACCCACAACAGTCTTAGGTTTTTCTGATTTTTGCTCCGGTACTTTGACCTCTCTCCACAAGGAAGACCCTGGTCTCCAGGTGCCCAGAAAGGCTCTCCGCCAAAGCCCTGAGTCCTGTGTTCTGGACAGTTTCCTCCACTATCTCTTCTGCAACCAAAACATTCTCACCCATTTCAACTGACACAAAACTAGTTGATTCCTGTTGATCGGAGATGCACACCAGGACTGGGCATCCCTTTCATGGCGTGCTGGCACTGCCTGAGGCACCTTCCTAGCGACCCCTGGGGATGTGTCCCATCTGGGACGGGTGTTCCTCTCCCACAGTGGAGAGCCAGCTGGTCGAGTGGAGAAGGCAGCAGGCGTGGTCTGTCTCCCCCAGCGAGCCCGGCCACTGCTACACTTTAGAGCTGCCTAAGCATATTTGCCAGGGGTGGGGAGGGGGTTCTTCTTCTTTTTTGTTTTATTCTCTTAGCTATAGCTTTAAAAATTGCTGCTTGATGAAGTTTCCATTTTTCTCCAATAAAGAACCACAATATTGACTATTACAGTATCAACTAGTAATCTCTACCTTCACTTCTAAAAATCATTTATCCTCTTACTCTTAAATCTCATACCCAATCCAAATTCCTTTTAAAGTTTTAAGGCATTTCCAATCTTACAAAAATAACCTCCAGCAGAAGTTTTTACAAAATTAATTCCTTTAGCCCTAACTGGTTTGGCTCAATGGATAGAGTGTTGGCCTGCGGACTCAAGGGTCCCAGGTTCGATTCTGGTCAAGGGAATGTACCTTGGTTGCAGGTACATCCCCAGTAGGAAGTGTGCAGGAGGCAGCTGATCGATGTTTCTCTCATCGATGTTTCTAACTCTCTATCCCTCTCCCTTCCTCTTTGTAAAAAATCAATAAAATATATTTTTTAAAAATGAATTCCTTTACATTTTATCAATAATCAGTAATAGAGAAAACTTTGACTTGAAAAGTAGAGTTCCTGGGGCCAGGGAGAGGAGATGGTGCCCGTGTCAGAGGGGATGCACTGAGACCCTATTTACATGGCCTCATCCCACGGTCACCACCCTCCCCCACATCAGCTCACAGCATAGGAGTCTCTGTTCACAAATGAAACTCAAGTGTCCCATACAGGTCCTACCTAGCACACAGTAGGTACTCAATCAATATTTAGTGAATGAATGAGATAAAAAACTATGAACATAATAAAACCTATTTTTGAAAGCCCACGGACTGGAACTCCCCGCACTACCAATCACGGGTCGGGACTTTAAGCTCATTTACAACTAGACGGAGGGCAGTCACTGACCCCAGGCCTCCCCACCTGTGGGGACAGAGGACTGTGAAACCGACCTAACAGTGCACAACCAACACGTAAAAAAGTGGAATAGGCAGCACTGTAAACATTAGAGACTGTCACATAGTAAGGACAATTTCATGAAGCTTGTCTTGGTTGTGTGTGTGTGTGAGTGTGTGTGTACACACACATGCCTGTTAGCACTGGGAGACAATGCAAAAGATTCCTTTAAACAAAAACCCCACACTCAAACTATTACCCAAGTAACATGAAAAAAACTCCTCCTAACTCAGAGTCCTAAATAAGCCTCCATTCATGTGAGACAAAAGTTACTCAAAGCAACAGGTTAGAATAATGTGGACTATTTGAGAGGCCCATTCAAACACACGTTTGTTTTTAAGGAAACTGCGTACTTACCATTGGATCAATCCAAACTGTATTTCCTAAAGCAAATACCACTTTGGCATCATGCAGTTTTCCAGTGACTTTATGATGAATGTACCTCGTGACCTGAAAAACACACTGAAGTGGTTTATGTGAAGCTTTAAGAAGACCTCGTTCTGTGTATGCCATGTGGTTCTCCAACAAACTCCCACGCATTTCATTAGCGCCCACAGCCATCCCAGGAGTAGGTTATGGAGGCCCGTGTGCCCCTTTCATCGACCAGAGTAACTAACAGTGGAGTTGAATACCGGCAGGTGTGAGCCCTGGCCGGTGTGGCTTAGAGGATAGTTGGCCTGCAATTCCTGATCAAGGGCATGTACTTGGGTTGCAGGCTCGATCCTGGCCCTGGATGGGGTGTGTGCAGGAGGCAGCCAACCAATGTGTCTCTGTCACATCGATATCTCTCTCTCTCTTTCTCTCCTCCCCCATCTCTCCTCCTCCCTCACTCCCTTCCACTTTCTCTGAAAATCAATGGAAAAATATCCTCAGGTGAGATTAACAACAACAAAAGGGCAGATGCTAAAGCTGAGTGCACAGGTCCATGCCTCTGGACTCCTAATACTGCGTGCTTCCTACCGTGGACATGTGTCCCCACCTCCTCTGTTAACCATCAACCTGTCGTTAAGGTATGGATGTTTATTTCCTGGAAAGCTCAATGAGAGTGCAGTAGGCGTTCCTGCAGGTGCGGGGGGGCAGGCACGCGCGGAGCTGCTCGGTACCAGGACCCGAGAGGCCCAGCAGATGAGACCTGTCTGAGCCCTGTCAGGCACATGTTGACTCCAGTAAAGCAGACGGGGAGGGAGCTGGCTCGTGGTGATTGGATTATTTCCACCTCCACTGAACTTTGTAATTGTCTGAAAGGACACGCACAGGAGAATGTCGCCCCCATTTCTAGAGAAGGCTCCTCTTCAAGAAATACTTGTGGTCGATCATCCTGACAGACCAAATGTTTGCCATGACTTTCTCGCTAATGGCTACACCCCCAGAATACATGTGGCACCAGCACACAGTGGACAATCAGCAAATACTTTCCATGAAGGAAAAGACTGCTATTTAATAAATAACAGTCTATTTTACTAAACTCTCTAAGAAAGACTGTGTGTTCACCCTGTATGGTGTAAGCATTCACCTATGTATTTCCTGGATAACGTGCAACTTTGTGTTTAACCCAAACTGTTTTTACTTTGCCAACTGCAATGGCTTATTTCATATCCTACTAATCAGAGGATACAAAACTTAACTTCCCCTGAAGAACCAGGGGAAGTTATGAACAGGACTCACTGCTCTGGGGATGACTGTCTGGCGACCTCTCCCAGGCGGCGAGAGCCTCTGCAGCCCGTGTTGGGAGGCCGCGGAAGCCCACCCTGGACCACTCTTCCGTGCCCCTTGTCCTGGCCCATGTTGTTTTCTTGGCCTCACTGCCTCATCCAGTCTACTTGGTGACTTCCTAGTCACTCCTCCCAAAGGGCCCACACAAATGTTCCTTCCTTTGAGAGCTTTGCTGAACTCTCTCTTTCCTTGTCCATCCTCCCAACCCCAACGAATTACCTGGTCACTCAGAAAGTGGCCAGCAACTGTGCCCCCTCTGACAAGGGTATCCATTTTGTAGGTTCTTACACTGTTTCTTCTCCTTAAGCTGACAGCCAATGTACTTTATCAGGACACACATTTCCCACCAATTCTAAGTCTGTGAGTGCTGAGGATGATGATGGCAGCCCGCCCCCGGCAAACAGGGTGCCTGTTCAGAGCTGGGCCTCTGCAGGTGGCCGTCAGCCCAGCCCACACCTGCAGGGACCACGCAGACTGTGCTCTCTCTGCTCAGGAACAGGAAGCATTTACCCAGCCTCAAAACCGTGATTCAAATAAACCTCGATTCTGTGTACATTCTGTGTTAAGTATATTCTAAAAGTCAGCAAACTATAAGAAGCTGAAATAACTCTCACTTTTGGATTCCATTCAATTTCATTGTCAGCAGGTTTCACTCTACAAACAATGAACTCCATGGCTTGGGGGGGCAGAGCCTGGAAGTTTTCTGGGAGATGCAGCAGCTGATCTCTGGGGACGGGTCCAGTCCTGCCTTCATCTATAAACTTCACAAGGACAGTATCGAGGGCCGACGTGTCTGCTTTTTGGCTCACCTCCAACACCTGAACTCTGAAGAACAACAGTGGCATCAGTTTAACACAGAGATTCTAAAATGGAAATAACCTTTGCCTCCACTTACCCATTAAGTGCTAAACATATAGGAAGACCCCCGAGCTGCATGGTTTTACTCCATACTAGGAATAAAATACCTAGAGCTGTCAAGAGCACTTAGCAATGGTTTATTTAAAGCATTCCTAAGTATAAATAGAGTAAATCCCTTATTTGACAACACATTAAAAATTAACGTAGCAAATTAAAAGTTTCAAGTTTCTCAATCTAGGTTATCACCAAGTGGAGTAGGGTGTGGCATTCGAAGGATGTAGGTGCCAACAGGTATGTGAGTCAGACTGCCTGGGTTGGAACACTGTGCCACTTATTGAGCTGACCTCAGACGAATTACACAGCCTCGCCAAGGCTCAGTATGCTGATCTGTAAAATGGGAATAATGCCATATCCTTTGTGAAAATTGCGTTAAAGATGTACGTGTACTTGGCACACAATGATGGCTCCATAACTGTCGGTATATAAACGCTACAGTCATCCAGGCTCTGTGCTCAAGAGCCTGGGGCCAGATGAGTCCCAGGTGTAGAACTGTGCCCAGGGTCTGGGGGCCATGACCCTGCCACCACCATCCTGGGAGTCAGCAGGCCTAGCACGTGAACAGTGGGCCGAACGGACAGAAATTAAAATGGGGGTTTAATAGCAGTTAAAGTTACCTCATGCTTCATAACTTTTCAAGATGAAATAACAGACATTCTACCTGTGAAAAAGTGTTTTCTCTGCTAATCCATATAATCCAAATTTCTCCACCTTTTCAATGGTTGTTTTATTACTGGAATCCTCAAAATACTGCTTCATTTCAGCATTAAGAGTTGCATAAAGATCCACGTGTTTATCAACTATACGACCAAAGTAATTTGTTGCATTCAAAATGTAAAAGGGTATTATCTGAAACATAAACACAGCCAGGAAATAAAATTAAGCTAAACCCAGAACCCCATCTGCAAAAATCAGCACCTGACCTGAGAACCCAAAGCACATGAACAGAAATAAAAGAATAAACTGGAAAACTAGCCAACAAGCAAACAAAACACAACAAAAACATTACCCTCAAAGAATTAGCTTCACTTTAAATCTACCGGATTTTTTTTTGTAAATCTCATTATTTTAAAATTGCATTATTAGTCATAAGTGTCCCTTTATTTACTTTTTAACTGCACTTTATAAAACTCTTCTTAAAATAGCATCCCTTTCTCTTGAGCCCTTTCTGATCTTTGCTCCTATAACGAGCGGTATTTTAGTAAGAGCCTACTGTGCGTGAGGCACTGGGCAAACAGATGAAGCCACGTCCGGCAGGGACCCTCAGCAACTCTCAGATGGACAGAGATGCCACAGCCAGAGCGTGCTCAGGAAGACAACTCTTCACAGGCAAGTGTATGCGGGGTCACTGGTGTGTGAGGGGAGTGCTGGCATGCGTATGCAGTAGCAAGAGCGTGGAGAAGGCATTCCAGACAGAGGAGCAAACAGTGTGCATTGAGGCAGGAGCCCTGGCTGCCCAGGAGTGAGAACTGGTGACTTGGTGGAATGGTGGAAAGGGTAGTGCTGACTCAGAGGCGGGCAGGCAAGGTAGGGGCGAGGTCACCCCTTGTGACTGAAAAGAGTGTCGGACCTCACCAAGCTGACAGCCTGGGGTCCCCTCTACGGCCCCTCCAACCTCACTGCCTGCCCCTCTCCCAGTCTCACTGCCAGTGAGTCGTGCTGTCCACAGACAATCCACATTACCTCCTACCTCGGGGCCTTTGTACATGCTGGTTCCTCTGCCTGGAATATTCTTCCCCAGGTCTTCCCATGGCTGGATCCTTCTTATCTGACCCTCAATGCAGTTGACTCTCTTCAGAGAGTCCCTCCCTGCCTATAATTTTCAAAGGGCCCCTTGTCCCCTGGCACCCTTACAGCAGCATATCTACATTTCATCCTCTTCACAGCACATCTTTCTTACTCACCTGTCCACTGTGGACCATCCCCACTAGAATGTCAGCAGAAAGAGGACTGGTAACATGTCAGTCACAGTTCCCAAGCCAGCCATTCTCCAGCACCCCCGTGCAGAAAGCTGCCTCAATAAACCCTCAGTGCTTACTCAAGCCTGCCCCACCTCAGGCAGGAGTTCAGCATCCCTTCCTGCTTGGCAACAATCCTTTCCCAGGGAGTCTTCTTCCCTATGGTTTAGAGGCCCCATCGGCCTGGCATTCCATTCATTAGCCCACTTGGTGACAGCAGTCAGTGACCATGAGGCAGTACGGAGGATGAGAAAAGTTACGAGAAATGGGCAGGGCACAATACATACATCAATAACAAAAATTTTTTAAAAGATGTACAAAGAAAAATGGGAAAAAATATACTAAAATGGTAATGTGATTGTTTTAGAGCGACAGGAATAAAGAGGAGCGTTTCTTCCTCCCATACTTCCCAAATAAGAAGGCTTTAGGTCAAGGAGAGGGGCCTCAGCACACACGGGGTAAACAAAGTCCAGGCCGAGCCGGCCTCAGTGCAGCAGTCCCTGCTGTAGGTCACTAGCACATCCAAAGACACAGGTTGGCAGAAAGGAGGCAGCAAAAAAGCAGCTTGTGAACTGGACTCTCTCAACAGAAGGAGAGCATGAGGCCTCCAGACAGGGTAGGGTTATCAACTTGTCCTGATCTATCCCATACCATCCTGTTTTCAGCACTGAAAGTCCCATATGCCAGAACCCCCTCCCCAGTCTGGTCACCCCGGGAGGGTCCCTTCTCGACACCCCACCCCCCACCTGTTTTGATTCCACTCTCCCCAGTACCTATGCACACAACTAACTCAGTTTGTTATGGTCACAGGATACAAGGTAAGGGTAAAAAATCAATTGCGTGGTTTTTTTTTAAGGGAGACATCTGTAATACTTTCTTTTTAAATACATTTTTATTGATTTCAGAGAAGAAGGGAGAGGGAGAGAGAGATAGAAACATCAATGATGAGAGAGAACCATTGATCAGCTGCTTCCTGCACGCCCCCTACTGGGAACCGAGCTTGTAACACAGGCATGTGCCCTTGATGGGAATCAAACCTGGGACCCTTCAGTCCACAGGCTGACACTCTATCCACTGAGCCAAACAAGCGAGGGCTCAATTGTATTTCTAAAACAACTAGAAAATAAAGTTTTTTAAAAATTCTCAACCAAGGATAAGATTTTTTAAAATACAATTTTATTGATTTCAGAGAGGAAGGAAGAGGAAGAGAGAGATATAGAAACATCAATGATGAGAGAGAATCATTGACCGGATGCCTTCTGCATGCCCCACACTGGCGATTGAGCCTGCAACCTGGGCATATGTCCTGAAGAGGAACTGAACTGTGACTTTGTGACTTCCAGGTCGATGCTCAACCACTGAGCCATGCAGGCTGGGCTAGGACATGATTTTATTGATTTGACAGAGAGAGAGAGAGAGCGAGAGAGAGAGAGAAAGAAAGAGAAAGAGAAACATCAATGGGTTGCCTCCCATACCCACCCTGGCCGGGGATCAAACCTACAACCTAGGTATGTGCCCTGACACAGAATCGAACCCTCAACCTTCTGGTGTACAGGACAATGCTTCAACCGAGTTTTGATTTTCAAGTGGGAGAAAATATTTGCAATATATCTGACAAAGGATATCCAGAATATATAAAGAATTCTTAACTCAACAAAAAGAAAACCCTAAATTTTAAAAGTGGACATAAATTCTGAACAGAGAGTTCATAAAAGAAGAGATACAAATAGTCAATAAGCAGTGAAAAGATGTCCAAGCTTCTCTATCACCAGGGAAATACAAAATAAGATATCAGTGCAAATGCAACAGAGTGGCAAAAATTAAAGACTGAGAATACCAAGTATTGATGAGATTGTACCAACCGGAATTCTCATATGCAGTGCTGGTGAGAATGCAGCTTCTTATAAATATCCACTTATCATATGACCCAGCAATTTCACTCCAAGGTCTTACTCAAGAGAAATGAAAATGTGTAAAACACTTGAAACACTAATGTACATGGCAGCCAGAAACACAAACCACCCAAATGTCCATCAACTTGTGAACGAACCATGATAAATCCATATAAATGGAATCCTACTCAGCAATAAAATAGAGCAACATAGATGAATCTCAAAAGAATTAAGCTGATAGAAATGAGACACAAAAGCCTACATACTGTATGAGTCCATTAATATGAAATTCTAGTAAAGACAAACTGATAGTTACAGATCAGGGGTTACCAGGGGTTGGGGAGTGGAGAAAGGACTGAGTGACTTCAAGGGGGAAAGGAGAGACCTCACTGGGGTAATGGAAGTTTTAATATCATGATGTGGTATTGGTTACATGATTATATATGTTTATCAAAACTGAACAAACTAGCCCAGCCAGCGTGGCTCAGTGGATGAGTGTTGATCTATGAACCAGGAGGTCATGGTTCGATTCCCAGTCAGAGCACATGCCCAGGTTGCGGGCTCAATCCCCAGGTGTGCGGGAAGCAGCCAATTGATGATTCTCTCTCATCATTGATGTTTCTATCTCTCTCTCCCTCTCCCTTCCTCTTTCTCTCTCTCTCTCTCTTCCACAGTCCCCGGTCAGTGTGCTTGCAGAGGGCAACCGACCAATGTTTCTCACAACAATGTTTATCTCTCATATCAATGTTTCTCTCTCTCTTTCTCTCTCTCTAAAAATCAATAAAAATACATATTCTCAGGTGGTTGAAAAAAAAGAGGCTTGGTTAGAAGCGTTCTGGGAAGATGGCAGTAGTCAAGTGTTATATTTTTTTATCATCCCTAAATCTCCACATAAAGACAGATTAATGAGACAGCAAACCAAAAAGTCAGGGGAACAATTTGCAATTAAAACTGACCAAGTATCCCCAGGGACCCCCATATAAAAGCAGATGAGGAAGATAACAGGGAGAAAATCTAGGTGACCTTGGATTTGGCAATGAGTCTGTATGCAACACCAAAAGCACAATCCATGAAAGAAAAAATTGGAATGTTAGGCTTCATTAAAATTAAGAACTTGTGCTCTGCAAAAAAATACTCTAAGGGGAATGAAAAGACAAGCCACAGACTTGAAGAAAATTTTTGCAAAATACATATCTGATAGAGGGCTGGTATCCAAAATATACAAACACTTAAAACTAAACAATAAGAAAACATACAATCAGAGAACCAAGACGGCAACATAGGTAAATGCTGGTACACACTGCCTCCCTCAACTACATCAAAATTACAACTAAAATACAGAACAACCATCATTCAGAACCGCCCGAAATCTGGCTGAATGAAAGTCCTACAACTAGAGAAGTAAAGAAGAAAATACATTGAGATTGGTAGCAGGAGTTGGAGGTGCAGAAAAGGCTGGTCCCACACTCATGTGTGCCTTTTTTTTAATTGGGAGAGATATTGTCAAGGCCTCCTGTGAGAAGTAGGGGGTCCCAACCCCATACCAGACCTCCAGCCCAGGGTTCCAGAACTGGGAAGAGAAGTCCCTATAACTTCAGGCTGTAAAAACCAGTGGGGATTGTGGCTGAGTGACAAGGATGCTACTGGAGTCCCAGATGTTCCTCTTAAAGGGCCGGCACACAAACTTACATGGTCCTGCTTCCTCTGAGCTCCAGCGCTGGATGGCAGCTTTGGGACAATCCAAGGATATCTGGGGAGGAAATGGACTGTCTGGCATCAGGGCAGGAACTTGGAGTCAGCTTTCTCCCAGACAGAGGTGCTCGCAGGGGTCACTGTCACTGTGCTGGGACCTCCCCGAGAGCAGAGCTAACTGGCAGCCATATCTGAGTTTCTATCAGCATAGCCCATATTATTCATCCATCCTGGTGATTCCCTGAGACCCTACCCCATCCAATTTGCAGCCCCACCCAACCTGTTTGCAGTAGCTTTTCCATATGAATGGCCTGTCCTAGCTCAGGCTTCAGACTTTGTTAAAATCTCTGGAAGCAGCAACAGCTGGCATCAAACCTATCAATAAAAGGCCCAAGACCTGGCACTAGCACCAGCCTGCCTTGCTTCACAGCTAGGCTTTGCCTGGGCACTTCCTAGCCCAATACAAGTAGCAGCCATCTGCAGATCTCTTTGTAGTTCCTGCCAGGTGACCCCAGGCAGTGGCTGACTTTGCACCTCCTGGGAAGCCCCAGAGTCAGGGCCACCAGTTGACAGCTTCAGACCATACCAGATTACAACACAACACACTCAATGGGCAGACTCAGTGAGCACCAAAGCCCCACTGAAACAAGTCCTGCTCCACAGGGGTGTCTCCTACACAGCAGCTCTCCCATTGTGGATGCAGCTGCTCCTCACAGCCAATTGGCCTGGAGGTCAATTCCTCCAGTGACACCAACAGCAATCAAAACTCAACTACAATAAGACTGTGCAGCCCCTTCCCACCTCCATCCCCCTC